TTTTTTAAACATCTCTATAAGTAATGACTGAAAAAGCGGCACTTAGAAAGGTGCTTCTTTATGACACCTTTCTAACTGTTCAAAAGGGGGTGCCTCCAACACAGACAGCAGCTTAAATGGAGCTAATATCTCACTTCCTTTGGCCTCCCTTTTTGCCTTTATCTCTCCCATCATTATATACACCTTCCCACCTTTTCTCCCTTACATAAACCACTCTCCCAAAACTCACACTCCTTCCACCAACATTGCACACAAAAACTCTGTTCTCTTCTGAAAAGCCACACTGCTTTTTTTTTTTTTTTAAACGCTTGTAGTAACCTGCAACACCTGTGTTCTCTAATTAGACCAACCCACATCAAATCAGCCCTTTAGTGAGTTGTACATCCTCAAAATCACCAGTAGAGGGTGAAAGAGGAAGAAATATATTCTATTCTATTCCAATCTTACTTTAGTAAATATTTGCAAGCTACTTAAAAAAGGCGTAATGTCAGAAAGTCGCTTCCTAGGGCTCCTCACAACCTAAATTATAAGTCTCTTTTATTAAACAAACATACCATAGCATCGGGAAATGTATGAGTCAGTAGTTTCTGTCTACACATCTCCCCAGTGGTTACTTTTGTAACAGCAACCATTTTTCCAACTTTTTCCCTCTGCCCTAAGCAAGCAAACATTTTAAAAATAGAAAGATTCCTCCTACTTCATAGTCATGTTCAGAGTTTGAGATAGTTGAAAGGTTACATTTTTTATTGCTGAATATGAGAAAACTGCAGCATTAGAAGCATACTGTGGATTATGTTGGTGTGCATAATATGCATTTAGCAGTGATAATAAATGTGGGAAATATCCCTGGTAGAAAGTGTATCTTATCTAAATAGCAAAACATTATTATTTGGCCTGAAGTACTACAAAATTTTCCTTATAGGTTTCCTCATTCAGCGTTAGAGAGGGGTGTAGCTATCCAGAAACTAGAACTGCAATGCTTAAATTGGCAGATTTTTCAGGAAAGCAAGTCGAGAAGTAGAGTTAAACAACTATCACAATAATTCCCATGGAAGATCCATCGTATTAAGAAATAATTAGTATTATTAAAGAACATAATAAAAGCATATTAATCAAAGACCACCATCTTCATATCAGTGCATCAATAATAATAAATAAGTCCACTGATCAGCAATACTGATGTGTTGTTCTGATGTATTCAGTCTGTTAAGTGTCATTCTATATTGTGTTAATCCAATTAAAATAGATTTTCTGCTAATTTAAGCACATAAAAATGTAAAAGCAATTAGTAACTGCATGCATTCTATTTTACCATGAACAATCTGTGAATGCAGTCCATTAAAACTAAAGACCGATAAAAGCAGAACTACAGTGTGGGCCATTCAGAACAAAGAGGAGACATTTCAATAGCAACCTCTTCAAGGTTACTGGATTGGACTTCATAAAATTGATGGATTCTGGACCTGAGTTGGAACATTAACATTATTTACAGCTTCTTTTGCCATGTCTGCCCATCTGTTTGCAGTTGTGCAGTTTTCAGAGCTGACAGGACCAATGGGGCACATAATGTATTGTTACCATTTGAAGGGCAACTTCTGCTACCACCTGTGAGTGCCTTAAGGGGCTGAATGACACTGGACTTTTATTCATTTATTTTTTTAGTCAGTGGTAGGTATACATTGTATTATAATAAATTTCTAACATATTTAAAAATCAATTTGCTCTGATGTATCCTATAGATAGATAGATAGATAGATAGATAGATAGATAGATAGACAGACAAAAAACTCATTTTAGGGGTTTTTTTCGGTAAAAAGGTATACAAAAGGATGTGATGAGGAGGGAAAAAGTGAAAATGTTGTGTTTACGTCAAAGATGTTTGTGTGTAACAGGTAGAGATTACATTATATCATGGATAAAAGCAGAAAAAATAGACTGCACTTACAGGTATATCTATAGTATAGCCTACTATTTCCAGCTAACATGCTGTTACACCCTTGTGGTAAGAAAAGAAAAGTACATTTGCCTGTGTGGCCTGATTCAACACTAACCACACCAACACAGGTGCTGGTAATGACTACTTTATATCGATCTGGGGTGCATTTCCCAAAAGCACTTTAGCCAATATGGTCGCAAGTTCCGCTGAACTCTCTTGCTAATGACAGAAATTGCAACCATAGTTGCTTTTAGGAAATGCACCCCTGATTGGTTAAAGGAACACTCCACTCTTTTTGAAAATGGGCTCATTTTCCAACTCCCCTAGAGTTAAACAGTTGAGTTTTACCGTTTTCGAATCCATTCAGCCGATCTCCGGGTCTGATGGTAGCACTTTTAGCTGTAGCTTAGCATAGATCATTGAATCTGATTAGACCGTTAGCATCTCGCTCAAAAATGACCAAAGAGTTTCTATATTTTTCCTATTTAAAACTTGACTCTTCTGTAGTTACATCGTGTACCAAGACCGACGGAAAATGAAAAGTTGCGATTTTCTCACGGAGATCAGCTGATCAGCTAGTTTGATCAGGTTTCCAGCCACTCACACACTTTCATTTGCATACAGTTAACACTGAATAATTTTATCTGTTGAACACAGCTATGCATTGTTCACCACAAATGCCAATCAGAACGTCAAGGTATATATATAAAAAAAGAGTACAACAAGGTCAAATGAGTTGGTGTGAACTGAGAAATTGGAGTGAAGGGAAGTTTAACACATTTTTAAATTTTGTAATAGGTACATCAAGATTGAATTGGTTCTGACTGCAGGGAAAGAGAGACATGTGACATGTGAAATTGCATTGTACGCAATGCAGAAAAAAGAGGAATACTAGGGGAATAGGAATATTTCTTCATGTTTAAAATGTGGCCCTAATGCTACATAATGTGGTAGACAATTAATAACAAATGTAGCCTAAGAGTATAAGAAAGTAGAGAAAAGCCAAGAGAATTCCTTACAAACTCTGCTGCTCTCTGTGCTGTCTCTAAGATCTGTGCTAATGTAGTTGACAATGTCATTTTTCTATAGAAGGCTGGAAGGTATATGCCACATCCCCATGCTGATGTAGGTGTTTTATGTCTTATGTCAACAATAGCCTACAGGTGCTATTCCCAACATTTTCAACGTTTTCTTCAAAAACTAGTCATAACTTTTTAAAGTCATTTACAAAAATGTAGATTGGCCCAATTTGAATCAGATAAGTACACAGTAAAATCCTGAGTAGCCTATTAAATTAACAAAACCAACAACATCCATCATCATTTAATAAATCACTTAATTATCTTGTTAATTTCAACACTGCTTCAGTGCTTTTAACACTCTTGTAGAGTGGGATCATATATGCTCTGAGCATTGTTAATTTAACATTCAGGATTTTGCTGTGTATAACTGATTACATCTTGGTTAACTAGCCTACTAGTTGGTCAAACTATTTCTTAATACTGTCTTAACATAGTGGCTATGTTTGTGCAGCTGGCCCTTGATATTGCTTAGAACTTAAGTAGCCTACGTTTTCTAATTTCCTTAGGGAATCAGCATGTGATAGAAATAAAATGAGTTGCCAACTTATGGAAGTAGATTAGACTCAATAATTCATTCAAAAGACATGATGCACACATGCGTATCCTAATTCACATGCATGAAACCCAAGTCACGTGCACGAAAAAAATATTGCGCCGCTAGCTTACACTGGTCACATTAATGAGTGTGTCTAAACGACGGATTTTACTTCCAAGTTTTAAGTAAGCATGCAAAGATAAAACAATACACTAGTGATGTTACATATGACACTGAAGCTTCAAAGCGCGTATCGAGTACGCAGAGCAATTTCTCACGAAGCTCTGTGCCGGAGCGCATATTGTTTTCAGAGAATCACGTGATCAACGAAAAACGGAGCCTCACTTTCTGTCCAATCACGTGCACGTGTCGGATGTTCAAACCCTCAGATCTTACTTTTACGTAAGTTTTCATTCAGACTTATTCAATTAAATACCCAGTCATACAAGTAATACGAAGAATACAATTTATTTCAGAAAAAAAATATATTTGCCATATGCAATTCATATATGTGTGTGCATTATTCTTCTATTACATTACATCATATTGATTTTCGTACTGGCATTTAATGCCACAGTTTAATGGGTAAATTATTTTATCAGAGAGACAAACTCAACAAACAAACACACACACACACACACACACACACACTATCAGGCTTTTATTTGTGCTCGTAACATGAGTTGATGGAATTTGTGGTCGCTGCTTCGGTCCGACGGAGCGTCTTTCACAGGCTTTTGGCTGCTATATTTCTTATATATATATATTTCTATATATATTTCTTATTAACCACCAGATGGCGCTGTTTTTTACACTCTCTAAGCTTTTAATCTTTTCCCGAAACAGTCAGAGTAGAGCCTCAGTGCTTCATGAGGCTTCATTTGCCCATCACTACAATACACCTTTACAAGGCTAGTTACCTGAAATGAAACGATCAACTGCACAAACCTCTACTGAATCGTAACTCGAGCTGTGGTCTCGCGCTGATGACGTAACATCCAGGTAGGCACGCCCACAGCGGGTTATGATTGGTCGACTGACAATCTGATTGGCTATAAGAGTACGAGTGTCCCGCATGGGAGGAGTTCGCTGCCAGGAAAGTCTCAAAAATACACACACAAATCCATGGCGATTCACACATTCACAGTCCATGATGAACTCGTGAATTTTAAACATTCAACATTTTTGTACACAGTTGTACATCTGTGAATTGTGTTTTGCATTTGTGAAACGTATTTTATGAATAATCTTATTTTGTGCACGTGAATTGGTTTTTGTGAATATATTTTTTTTTTCGTGCATGTGAATTGGGATACGCATGTGTGCATCGTGTCTTTTGCTTGAATTATTATTGAGTCTAATCTGCTTCCATACCCAACTCGCCTCGACTTCATTCATCCACGATGTACCGAAGTTTGCCACTAGGTGCCATTCTCCGCTCTCCTTGAACACCATTGTTGGGTGCTGAATGTGAAGCGAGGAGTTTTTCTCCTCCTCCAAACCTGTGATGAAGCCGTGTTCCAATGAAAGCAGGTGGAATTCCCCCTTTCAACCAATGGCGCTCTGCCCTCGCAACAATCCTTTCGAAAAGGATGTATGGGCTCGGTTATGGCGCTGGCGTGAAGTTGTTGGAAACGGGCAAGCCCAGGAAGCAGGATTTTGGCACTACTGCACCACCTAAAGCTTAGGGCTGCCCGCTTGAATGGGAACAAGTGAGCAGACCATTCATATTTGCTCAAACGTACACCTTGGGAGCCACTTCAGCGACGTCGGATTGAAGATAGTGATTTCTACAAAAGTCTCTCTGTCAAAACCGAGCACGCACCGAGTTACCACGGGCTAAAAAAAAGAGGCATGGATCGCAAGAGTTAGACTGAGTTCTAACTCCCCTCGAGCTGTTTGTGTTTTTAACTGAGGAGAAGGACTAAAAGAGTCACCATGCCTGCCAAAACAAAGTACAATTTAGTCGATGATGGACACGATTTGCGGATTCCTTTACATAATGAGGAAGCATTCCAACATGGGATTAATTTCGAAGCAAAGGTAAGTTTCTTTTGAAATGAAGATATGTTTTTCAGCCTCGTGTTTTGTTTACATGCTGCTGCGAATCCTGTTTCCAGTCCCAGGAAACATTTAAAGTTGTTTTGCCACTGTTGTTGCCACTTGTTTACATACCGTATTGTCCATTTAATTGAGCGCGTCTATTCTGATACCACACTAAGCCCAACTTGTCAACAGGCGATCTAATACATTTCATCTCGTTGGCTTTGATTTCCAGTATATCGGTAGTTTGGATGTGGCTCGACCCAACAGCCGTGTGGAGATTGTTGCGGCCATGAGGCGGATAAGGGTGAGTTTTTATGGAACCAGTTTACTTTTACTGCTTCCTAAAGTCGAGTTAGCTTACAAAGTTTACAAATAGCAGTATTTAGTCCTGTATTCGTTGGTATTCTAATAAAGCGCCACGACGTGACTCTATTCCACACGGGTGGTCTCTTCGTGCCTCGAGCAACAATCAAAATACAAAAGCAGGACAGATCAGTGAGCAAATTGCTGACATAATGAAAGGGTTGGATATTGATAGCCCTGTCAAAGTTGCTTTGATACACATACACCGGTTCTGTACGTTATGTCGCCTTTGGCAACCGCAGTGTTTGTGGGATTTTCATGTGTGTAAACAGAGAAGAGCTCTTTGAAGTGGGGGTCTTCTGTGTAAAGCACTTAAAGGGTAAGTTTTGGCGCCCACCAATCATACTGATAAGAAAGCACTGGCTTCCTGTGTGGCTAGACCCTCTTGATAAATATACATTGCTATCATGTTTTGTGTTTAAAGACATTTCCCTGTTGGTAGATAGTTCATTTAAAGTCCTCATATGTAGAAAGCTAGTGTTTACTGCTCCCTACTATAAAAGTTCACTCTAGCAGGCACATCACATTTGAAAGCCCAAAACTCATATTTCACTTAACGACACTCATGCCCTCAAATTAATCATGGTTTTATTGTAGTAACCATGTTTTTTTTGGCATATTGATTACCATTTGTATAACCACAGTTTTACTACAAATACCATGGTTAAACTATGGTTAGTGTAGCAAAACCATGGTTAGTTTGTGGCTATTGCAATTACAGTGAAACTTATGTGAAACTATGGGAAGTGTGATGTAAGAGGTGGTTTGAATGTAACAATTAAAAGGCTTCTTTTTTCCTCCCAACATCCTGGATTCCAGCATGGCAGCAGACACCAGATGCAAATGATCCTATTAACCTTTTCAGTGTGCTGGACCCCCTGCTATGGTCTGCTGGCTAATGGGCAACTATACATGCCTTTAAAGCAGGGAATTATTGTGTTGTAAAGCTCAAACACAAAAGTTGCACAAAACCAATCATGCTGTAGCAGTTAAGTAGATTTAAGTTCAAGCAGTGACGGCATTGTTTGAAGTTAACTTGTTTGCGCTTGCTGTATACTGCCCTGCTAAGACAAGATACATACAATAACTATGACAACACTAAAACTAAGATTTTTTATTTTTTTTTTGGATTGATTTCATATCATTTTTTAATATTCTTTTCTACAAATGTAAGCATAGTTAAGTCAAACCTATCCTTCACAGGACAGATTTTGTCAGAACTATTGATTTAACTTTTTGCACTTTGTTTTTGCACAGAACATTGTGAGTAATAATTGCTTAAATATCACTTAAAAACCATATATACATATTTTCCTATTTAGAATATGAGGAATGTTGAACAGTTGCATTTTGAGGGACAGTTTTATGCAATAATGTTGACAAAAGAGATCCTACTTGTTTGGTTTCAAGTCCCATTCACTGTAATTTATTTGGCAAGCAGCTTCTCTGTATTGTTACGGTCTATTGTTTATTGTTCACTGTTTCTTGCTGTTGTGTACTTCTTTTACAAAATGTGCATCATGGCGTATGATAATATGTTCCAACATAGGACATTTCCATCAGTCCGAGGAGTCATGTAACATCTCTAGAATGCGGTTTGCAACTTTAGACTGGTAATGTCAATGTGAAAGCTTCATGCAAAGAGTGTAGAGCATAAATAGCTAAATGTTTAAGTATAGTGTTAAATATAATTTTGGGGTCAGTGCTTTCTGTTCTCAGGTATTTCACTTTGTAGGATCATATGATGTGATATCTGTAAATGAAAGGAGAACCTTTCAATGGCTGTCAGAAATAATTTGTTTAATCTGCCTTTGATCTTAATTGCTATCACCCCGATAAAGGAACGTGGGATGAAGAGATCCAGTGATTTGTGAATATATTAGGTTTAACTTAAGTCGAATAAAGTATAAGTGAAAATATTGAGGTGATATCAGGTGCCTCAGACATTTTGGTCAATAGTTACGTTAAACACACATACTCACTCACTCACGCAATTTGTGCAGGAGGAAGGGGTGATTTAAAGTCCATTGGGGAATTAAAAGCTTGAAGCCTACAATCACTGGCAATTTTCACCACACCCAGATTCCATTTACCGAGTATAATAAGCTGGAGTTCGAAATGTTTATAGCCTGTTGTCATGTTTTATTTGGTGCAAAGAATGTTTGTTATTTTAATCATCTAATAATAGAGATATAAGTGTAAACATATGTGTATATCCCTTATAACAGCTTCCCTTATGTCCTGAACAACAGTTTAGTTTTATAGTGGTTTGTTATTAGACTGCCAGTTTCTTAGCTTCACTTTATTTCCACATGAAGCTTTTTCGATTTGCTGTCTTTTTATTCTTGAGCATCACAATAAATGGCTTCAAAATCCACTTGGGCCGCAAGCCTTCCTTGACTTTAAGCCTTTGTAGCATCAAAGATGGAGATTCACTTAAGCAGCAGTTGCAGTTTGTTTTACACCAATGTGTGACAAGTGCCTTCATTGAGGACTAAATTATAGGCCTACTTGAATGTTTACTCTAGCTTCATTGATTTACGAGATACCTTGCAGACACCTCGTAAGAAAGAACCTGATCGTGACATAATCTTTGTGGAGATGATTAGCATTGAGTAGATGTTGCTGTCATATTTGGAAAGGGGAATATTTACGGTCTTGCAATCCTCCCGTAAAAGCTTTCAGACTCGTAGCCCAGCGCACTTTGCTCTTATTGCTGTGCCTTAAATTTATTGCATTATATATTGTTAGCTTTAAGATGGTCAAGCTTCACTCTTTGCAAAAATTGATGACCTGCACTTTAAAACGGCACCTTAATTAACTGACTGATTAAGTGATGTTATGAATGAGTTCTTTTGGGCTGAGATCCTTCCTCCAACATTGTGGAAGTGGAAATGTTGACTTCTAATTTATAGTTATGAATAGCTTTTTTATTTTTAAGGCTTTTTCTTCATTGATTCAAGCGAAAATTAGGTGATCTTGCCTTGCTGTGATTCACTGCTGTTATATCTGGTGGATACCAGTCCCAGCTGAACCCTGTCTGCAAAATGAATTGCCTTATGTTCATATGGCAGCATAATTTTAAAGACATTCCCTGAATCTGAATGTGACCGTAGTGCCTCATTCTCCCAGTTGTGCACTCTTACCAAAGCCATATTATCTTTAAAATAAAGGTTACATACAATAGAAGAACCATTCTGGCTTCCCCAAAGAACCTTTCAGTGAATAGTTCTTACAAGAACCACTTTTTTTAGTGTGAGGAATGTTTTAATCTGAAGAACCTATAAAGAACCTTTTGTGCAATCGAAAGGTTCCATGGATGTTAAAGGTTCTTAAAGGCCAATAAAGAAATGGTATTTTTAAAAGTGTACTGTTACTGGTTTCACAACATCTACTAGAGATGCACTGATCGATTGGCCAGGGTTCGGAATCGGCCGATTTTCCTCATGATCGGCCCGGATCGGTGATCGCCCGGTCATTCTCACTTCTTTCCGATTTCGAGCCGATCCGTTTTGTTACCAGCGGCACTTGATGTGGTTTATTCACGTTTAATGGCCATTGTGCAGCGCCCGCTGTAATCCATCAACAAACTCCACATCTATGGATCTTTTTAGTTTAATAGTACTTTTTTTTTTTTTTCAACCTGAGTTTTTACATTTTGTGTGAAAAATCGTTCTTCAGCATAAAATATGCCCCACATTAAGACAACTCTCTGGAGTGGTTCAGTCACTATGAATGTCTTTGAACTGTGATTTAGTGCTGTGATATAACTTGCTTCTTTCTCCCTTTATAGCTCTCTTTCTAGTGTTGGAAAAGTAGATTTTTGTTTGTATATGCTGTCAATTATAGTTCTTAGAAAATCGGAATCGGCAAAAATCGGTATCGACAGATCACACTAACAAAAAATCGGATTCGGCCAAGAAAATTGCAATCTGTGCATCTCTAATTTCTGCTTTACAGGGTTAGGAAGAGGGCTACGGGTAACATTTGGGACGGGGCCAGTAACTCTGAAGTTGTCACTGAATAGATGTTTTTCTGTTCTCCTTCATTTATCTCTGTTGAAGCAGAAAGGTCACAAAGAGTGTTCCAGTGACCATTATTGATTCTCCCTTTCTGTTCCCCTCCATCAAACACCTTTTGGAGGGAAAGTTTGGAGTTTATTCTAACTGTGGCTGCTGGTTAATGTATAACTTTGTTGTTTGAATTTAAATTCTCAATAAAACCAAAGTAGCGACCGAAGTAGATATGGTTATGGTTATATAGTTATGATATTTCGATTAAACATGACAAGGTCAATTAATAATGGGGAAAATGCATGGATAAATCATTCACAATAAGATCTAGAAGATGCATTTAGAAAATAGGGTGAATTTTCAATTTATGGCAACTTTCAAAATGACTTTGTTACAATAGCTATATTTGCCCCTTTTCCTTGCTGCCACTTCACTTTTTTTTTTTATTAACTTTTTTGTCCATCTGACTTAAACTGGATGACATTTTGACTGCACCGTACAGGATCCAGCCATAAGAGAGGCTGTTGGCCAGGATCCATTCTGTTGACGTGCCTCATTTTGTCTCCAAAGGGCCTCTTTGGATTTAGAAAAGCTCTCTATCCCCTCAAGAACTGAACATCCTCTGTGTAACATTGACTAGCATCAGAACAACAAAGCCATAGGATACTCGAGCCCATCCCCTTCTTAACCATAGAAACGGAGAACAGTAAATTGACTCATAACTCTCTTCCTTTCTCCTTGGAGTGTCTTTGCCTTGCGATCTATTAGACGAATCGCTTTCACCCCCATCAACCGCACAGCCAAAATTCATCTTAAAAACATGTTTTGTTTTTTTCCTTTTTAAATACACCCCTTTTTCTGAGACCTTTTATTGTAACAAATTAATATTCTGGCCTAATTTGATCGTCCTTTTTAATTAACGTCTCCA